GCGGCATCCACCTCCCGTCGGCGGGTGCCAATCCATTTCGTGTGCGCGTGGCCACGACGGCTGAGGGAGTCCTGGATTAAGGGGTCCTCGGAACAGCCGGACTATATGCGAATGCCGGACGGTTGGAATGTGAAGATACAAGATAGAAGACTTCGTCTCGTATCCGGATAGGACTCTCCTTTGCGTGGAAGGCAAGCTTGGCGATTCGGATGTGAAGATTACTTTCTCTGTAACCGACTCTGTGTAACCCTAGCCCCCTCCGGTGTTTATATAAACCAGAGGGTTTAGTCCGTAGGACGAGGACGATCATAACCATAGGCTAGCTTCTAGGGTTTAGCCTCTATGATTTCGTGGTAGATCTACTCTTGTAATACTCATATCATCAAGATCAATCAAGCAGGAAGTAGGGTATTTACCTCCATCGAGAGGGTCCGAACCTAGGTAAATATTGTGTCCCCCGCCTCCTGTTACCATTAGCCTTAGACGCACTGTTCGGGACCCCCTACCCGAGACCCGCCGGTTTTGACACCGACATTGGTGCTTTCATTCAGAGTTCCACTGTGTCATCACCATAAAGCTTGATGGCTCCTTCAATCATCAACAACGCGGTCTAGGGTGAAGTTTTTCTCCCCGGACAGATCTTCGTTTTCAGCAGCTTCGCACTGCGTGCCAACTCGCTTGGCCATCTGGAGCAGATCGATAGCTACGCCCCTGGCCATCAGGTCAGGTTTGAAAGCTTGAACTACACCGCCGACACCCGCGGAGACTTGATCTTCGAGGGATTCGAGCCCATGACAGCAGCGCCCCACCGCCACGATGAACACAACCTAAATCTGTCATCGGATGGTATGCGGGAGATTGCACCTGTAGCCGCATTGGCCCTAGATCCAGAGTAGAGCGCGCCATTCGAGGACGGGAGGCTCAACCCCGCCACGAAAGCCGCGGACTCGACGGTGCTAGAGCCGAACACAGATTTGACCTCCAACGAGGCCTGTGTCATCGGAGCCTTGGACTCGTTTCCGGTTACAGACTCCGAACCATGTGAATCCGCACCCATCAAGTCTGACTGGGCGCCGATCTTAGAGTTCAGCTCCGCGGACATCTTCCAACACTCGCCCCTAGGCTACGTGTTAAACTCATTAAATTCTCTCTCCTTGTCAGGAGATTCCTGGCCGAACTATGTCCGGCTCGAGTGGGAAGCGAACGAGGAAGAACTTTGTTGCCCACTCACCACCCATTTGATAGCCATTGTCGATGATTTGGCCGACATGCTTGATTTCGACTCCAAAGACATCAACGATATCGATGACGATGCCGGAGAAGAACAGGAACCACCACCCACAGGGCGCTGGACATCCACCTCCTCATGCGATATATACATGGTGGATACACCCAAAGAAAACAATGGCGACGACATACAAGATGCAACTGATGATAAACTTCCTGAGAAGCAGTCTAAGCGCCGACTTCAGCGGCGCCGCTCTAAATCACGCCATGGTAAAAATAGCGATACCGGCACAAGAGAGAACAGCACTCCGGACGATGCCGAAGACAATGAAGACCCCGCCAAGCCAAGTTTCGAACAGGCCGAACGGGAAGATGGGCAAGCCAATCCCGACGAACAGGCCGTGAACGAAGACTCGGAGGACAGCAACTACATGCCTCTCTCCGAGGACGAGGTGAGCCTCGGCGACGAAGAATTTATCGTGCCAGAGGATCCCATCAAGCAGGAGCGCTTTAAGCGCCGCCTTATTGCCACGACAAGAAGCCTGAAGAAGAAGCAACAACAGCTTCAAGCTGATCAAGATCTGCTCACAGATAGATGGACTGAGGTCCTGGCGGCCGAGGAATACGGACTCGAGCCCAACCAAAAGTTACCCGAAGCACAAATTGCTACCTCAATTCGATGACGAGGCGTTGAAGCCAGCACTGCCAGCATATAATGCGGTCGACCGACCACCGCGTGGTCGAGACAAAGCGACAATTCAGCCCGAACACCAGCCGGCACCATGCCGCCGAACAAATAGAAACACAACAACTCGGGGATACACACATGACCTGCGGTGCGACTTGTAGAACAGAGCAGGCCAAACCAGATCGATCTACAGATCGCGGGGGTGCACCCCAATGCGCAACGACGATCACCACGCCGGTCATAATAAATACACACCTGTCCGGCCCGAATACCGTAGACCGGCTCCATCCGAGCTGCGTCGCGATGTAGCCCAACACAGAGGCGCCGCGCACTCCCTATGGTTCACTGATGAAGTAATGGAACATGAATTCCCAGAAGGGTTTAAACTCGTAAACATTGAATCATATGATGGAACAACAGACCCCGTGGTATGGATCGAGGACTTCCTTCTCCATATACATATGGCCCGCAGCGACGATCTCCATGCCATAAAGTATCTCCCGCTAAAACTCAAGGGACCAGCCATGCACTGGTTCAACAGTCTGCCCGAAAACAGTATTGGCAGTTGGGAGAACCTGGAAGATGCATTCCTTGACAACTTCCAGGGCACTTATGTCCGACCTCCAGATGTCGATGACCTAAGTCATATAATCCAACAGCTCGGAGAGTCAGCCAGGAAATTTTGGACTCGGTTCTTAACCAAAAAGAACCAAATTGTCGACTGTTCGGATGCTGAAGCCCTAGCGGCCTTTAAGCATAACATCCGCGACGAGTGGCTCGCCCGACACCTCGGCCAAGAGAAGTCGAAGTCCATGGCAGCCCTCACGACGCTCATGACTCGCTTTTGCGCGGGCGAGGATAGCTGGTTAGCTCGTAGCAACACCACCTCAAGTAAGCACAGCACTTCCGAAGCCAGAGATAGCAAGCCTCGACGCAACATACACAAGCGTCGAAACAATGGCGATAACGCCGAAGACACGGCTGTCAATGCCGGATTCAGTGGCTCCAACTCCAGTCAACAGAAAAAGCCATTTAAACGAAACAATCCGGGCCCGTCTAGTCTAGATCGCATACTCAATCGTCCATGTCAAATCCACGGCACCCCCGATAAACCAGCCAATCACACCAACAGAGAATGTTGGGTCTTTAAACAAGCCGGCAAGTTAAACACTGAAAACAAGGAAAAGGGATCACCAAGTGACGACGACGAGGAACCCCGGCCGCCGAATACAGGGGGACAGAAGAAGTTTCCTCCCCAAGTAAAAACGGTTAACATGATATATGCTAGCCACATCCCCAAAAGGGAGCGGAAGCGCGCACTAAGGGACGTCTACGCGATGGAGCCAGTCGCCCCAAACTACAACCCGTGGTCCTCCTGTTCGATCACCTTCGATCGAAGGGGCCATCCGAGCAGTATCCGTCACCTGCGGTTCAGCCGCACTAGTGCTTGACCCTATAATCGATGGATTTCACCTTACACGCGTTCTAATGAACGGTGGCAGCAGCCTGAACCTGCTTTATCAAGATACAATGTGCAAAATGGGTATTGATCCATCAAGGATCAAACCCACCAAAACCACCTTTAAAGGTGTCATACCAGGTGTAGAGGCCCGCTGCAAGGGCTCAATCACACTGGAAGTGGACTTCGGATCCTAGATAATTTCTAAAGCGAAGAGCTACTCTTCGACATCATCTCCTTCCGTAGTGGTTACCACACACTGCTCGGATGAACCGCATTTGCCTGTTTCAATGCGGTGCCGCACTACGCCTACCTCAAGCTCAAGATGCCCGGACCTCGCGGTGTTATAACAGCCAATGGAAATATGGAGCGATCTGATACGTCTCCAACGTATCTATAATTTTTTATTATTTCATGCTATTATATTACCCGCTTTGGATGTTTATGGGCTTTACTTTACACTTTTATATCATTTTTGGGACTAACCTACTAACCGGAGGCCCAACCCGAATTGCTGTTTTTTTTGTCTATTTCAGTGTTTCGAAGAAAAAGAATATCAAACAGAGTCCAAATGGAATGAAACCTTCGGCAGTGATCTTTTTGGAACAAACATGATCCAGAGGACTTGGAGTGGAATTCAAGAAACAAGCGAGGCGGCCACGAGGGTGCCCGGCGCGCCCCCTACAGTTGGGCGCGCCCCCCACTCTCGTGGGCCCCTCGAGCATCCACCGACCTACTTCTTCCTCCTACATATACCCATATACCCCGAAAACATTAGAAGCGACCATGAAAAAGTATTTCCAGCAATGTAACCTTCTGTATCCGCGAGATCCCATCTTGGAGCCTTTGCCGGCGCTCCGTCGGAGGGGGGATCGACCATGGACGGCCTCTACATCATCTCCAAGGCCTCTCCTATGAGTTGTGAGTAGTTTACCACAGACCTTCGGGTCCATAGTTATTAGCTAGATGGCTTCTTCTCTCTCTTTGAATCTCAATACAAAGTTCTCCTCGATCTTCTTGGAGATCTATTCGATGTAACTCTTTTTGTTGTGTGTTTGTCGAGATCCGGTGAATTGTGGGTTTATGATC